AGCTACTCAGCTACTCTCTTCCCTAGCCTACAGCTACTCAGCCCACTCAGTTCCAGCGGGGCGGCATCCTTGAGGCTTGGGGGTCCAGGATCTCCGGCTCTCCTCCTTCAGCTTCTCCTCCGATCGACCCCTCCGCTCTCCGGGAGCCGTCTTATATATCCCCTCTCTCTGAGGGGCGGGGGTGTCTCGGGCCCTGGCTCTCGCCAGCCCCCTCCCCTCAGAGCCGTTCCAACCACCTCTCGTCCCTGTCAATCCGGGCCGGTCCAGACCGGTATGTACCTCTCCCCTAGCTTGTGTGACCTGTGTGACCTGTGTCAACCTTGGTGTCAACCTTGACCACCACATATATACTGTATGGGGCATTTATCTTGAGATGGTGACAATGGCCCAGCGGGTGTTGCGTGTCTAACACGAGAGTTGTGGTCCCGTCATGCTATGGCTGAGTTATGTCTTTTGTTTGTATTTATGACTGCAGGTATTGCGGTCTATGCAAACATGACTCCTTGCAAAAAGGTGTCAGTTTTGTTGCCAGATAGAAGGGTAAAGAACCAATTATCATGTCTAGCCTAGTGGGCTGTGTGCTCACATGGCTCGGAGAGTGTGGTCCCGTCATGCTATGGCTGACGGCTTGACTTGACAGCCCGGAGATTGAAACACTCCGTGGCATGTCTAGCCTAGTGGGCTGTGCGCTCACAGGGCTCGGAGAGTGTGGTCCCGTCATGGAATAGCTGACGGCTTGACCTGACGGCCCGGAGGTTGAGACCCTCCGTGGTACGTCTGGAGCAGTAGGCTCGCCCTGACGGCCCGGAGATTGAAACACTCCGAGGCGCGTTGAAACAGTGGGCTGGAGATTCGTGGTGTTCAGGTGTAGTTGTCCCGTTACGTTGGGACTGTATCCCTCAGTTGTTAGGGTGCATGTTGTGCAGGGAGTGAACAATGGGTCGTCTCAGATCGGTCGGTACAGCTATATGCTGCGATGCGAGTCTTGGAGAGAGGTTGGGTCTCAGATCGGTCGGTACAGCTATATGCTGCGATACGAGTCTTGGAGAGAGGTTGGGTCTCAGATCGGTCGGTACAGCTATATGCTGCGATGCGAGTCTTGGAGAGAGACTGGGTTGAAGTCCCCCCCGATATGGCCGACGTGCGCGGTTTTAGGATGGAGACGCCACGTTGGAAAGGCGGGGGTGCAAACGGTTGACATGTAATGTCGGTGGTGGTCCTCATTGCTTCACCTTTTTGTTGATTGATGCTTGTATATAGTGTAGAGTTGTACAGGTTGGTTATGGTTTTTATGGTTGCTTTCTTGTTCTCTTTTCTTTTCCTGTTGAGGCTCGCATATTTTTTTCTCTCCCTTTCGTTAATTTAAACTTTCTAATTATTGACAGCCGGGACGGCTGGAGGCTACGTAGAGGGGGGTAATGTAGTGACATAAGAAGGGAGGGGCTGCTGGGGGCTCTGGGATCCCAGGCAAGTCCAGACGCTTAAGCCTCTGGGCGCCAGGCGCTGGGTTCCCAGGGGGTCCAGACGCTTAAGCCTCTGGGCGCCAGGCGTTGAGTTCCCAGGCGCTTAATCCCCTGGGCGCCGCCAACGGGGGGGGGCTGTATGTGCTCTGTGGGATGTCTGGTGGCGCACACGGCCCCACCCCTCGTTGGACCAGGCATAAAAGGAGAGCTCCCTGGACGATCGGGGCCCAGTTGTAACTCAAGACCCAAGACCCACGACCAGCCATCTGAAGACCATAGGATGCTGTGAGAGCCAGTGCTGGGACTCTGGAACTCCCGACTCTACGACCTTGTGAGGGCGAGTTCCGGAGCGTAGCCAGAGTAGAGTATCTAGGCTGTGTAGCTAGGCTGTGTACCTAGGCTGTAACAGAGTATCAGGACTGTTGGAGAGTTGGAGTACTGTTGGAGTGTTGTATTGTAATAAAGAAGTTACCTCTACAAGTGTCTCCGGAACCCGTTACACATGCATTCAAGTCTCAAGAGTGGCAGCAAAGGACTATGAGCGATGGTCGCAGCATTGGGGAGGCCTTCAACCAACAGTGATCAGGCAATAACTGATGATGATGACTATGCCATGAAGGATGGCAGTGAAGAGATGGATGTTTATGTTTAGTATTGTTATCAAATTGTATTCCCGTCTAAAGCTGCGTGAGGTAGAATATTGTAACAAGGAGTGCCTGAGGGCCGCAGCACATCTGGAAATATAAACATTTCCCCAGAATTCCCCGTGGAATGTAACATTTTTAATACTTCCATGTGAATTTCGTTTGATTGACAGGACGCTGTGGTTTCGTGATTTTGTTTTAACATTTGCTTATTATTGTCATTCGCTGACTGCATTTAAATCAATGTTTACTCTAAGGAGTGTGATACTAAAAAACGACTGGAATAACTATTGGATATGTCATAAGATGCAGGCTTTCTTCTGCTGTCACCTTGTGTTAAACATATATTTGGTTATGGGCAAGATGATATATTTACTGTATTTTATCATATGGCAGGTAAAAAAAAATGAAATGAATGTTTGAGCTGGGTCTTCATTGGAAAATGATTAGAATTTCAAAATGAAAAATCAAATTTTCAAGAAACACTTTAAAATATTTCTTAGTGTTTAATTCTACATCCTTTATTCGAAGGTCACCTCAGGCAGTGAGAGTTGAATGACATTACGGCTTGTGCTGGGGTTCGTATTGCAGGATTGTGTGTTGTGTACGGAGCCCTTTTCTATACAAACAATTTACAGACCGTGCCTGTATATTTGACGGCCGCAGTATTCTTTACAATATTGATATTCTGAGCGTCATAAAACACTGCTCGTGGGATTCCGGGTATCTTGCACGTACGGTAAGACTGAATGTGCGGTTTACACCGCTGTCTTGGGATGGTAAAGAAGAGGTGAACACTTCTGCGGGCTCATTCTTCGTGGTGAAACACTTACATTTGATTCGTTTTGCTAAAGTACCATCATTAGCCACGGCTTGATGAAGGTTTCTCCCCCACCTCCCCCAAGCTTCCCACCCACCATCTCGCACTGTCTCGCAATGCAACACTTCATATCGCTTCATTGCTTCAGTCATTGCTTCAGTTCTGTAGTGGACATCATCTTGGCTGTGTTCCTTTCGACGAGAGCATATTCAAAGTTAAATTGAAAGTGTGGTGCTCCTAAGCCAGCAGTGGAAAGTCTAGATTCTTATGGTGCTAGCCAATATATCCAGAATACAACCACTCATAATACAGGTTTTCGGGGCGGTGGGGGGGGGGTAATTACAACTGTCTTCATCAGGCGATGAAGCTAGTTGTAATTACTTTGTACAAGATAAGCGCACAAGTGTTGTCATTACATCTACGCCTCTATTTAAGAAACGAAACAGGTGGACTTCTCCACAAATCTGTCTGTCGCCTGATGTAGCAAGTTGTAATTACTGGCGAAGCGTCATACTCAGATTGTAAATGTTGTGGCTTGGCTCTCAAACACACCGGTGTGCTGTACTAGTAACGATTTGGCATGTTCTGTTTACGTGACAAACCTTAATAATTTGCTGTGTCGGGTGGTGGCGGGTTTAAAGGCACATTTATATATTTACACGATCTAACGCAAAAAAACACTGTATTATGGATGATATTGGTCGCGAAAGCTAACGTGTTAAACACAACCACTGTTGATTTTTGCTTTGCACATTAGCTTGCACACTTGTTACATTTGTGGCTGGAAGTATATTTCCCTACTATAAAGCATGGGTGCAATGGCAGCTGTTATAGATCATACAGAGGGCTGGAAATCCAGCAGTAAACACAGCAAACACAGAGCACTCTAAAGCCAACATTGACCCAGGCTTAACAAGGGTGTTTTAATTGGTCAAATCAGATTAAATATTTAGGAATGAGACTTGGACAAGCTTGTGGGTAAGTGTTCAAACACCCTTGTTAGTCTGCGTTCCCCTAGGATGCATACCATGCTCTGGTAGGAGTCTCTGCAGTGTGACATTTCCCAATTGAACAAATTTGCCGTAATGCTAAGCTAAACATTTATAATCCAACGTTTCTGGGCTGCACTGTGCTATCCATCGAATATAATTGTTTAACGTAGAGTGAGATGAAATTTAAGGAATTATTGTCTCGCTTGAGGTTTGTTTTTCAAAACTATGAACAGTATATTGCCTCGTGGCATTTTTGTAAGCATGCTGAAATCTGGTCATGAGTTCAAATCACGGTGGAGTTAAACTCAATTCATCATTCCTCTGGAATTGGATCAAATTAATTCCACTTTGTCGAAGGTCAACGGTGCACATATGGACAAATATTTATCTTCTTACAAGCCAGTCCATTCATGACTTAAAGCTTTCGTGACTGCAGGAATTCATATTCTTGGGTCTTTCGGTAAAGTCACGTAGATAGGTTCAAAGGAAATAACAAAAAAATTACAAAACTACGACGTTTCGATCGCAACACAAGCAATCGTCTTCAGGAGAAAAAAAATAGTGGGAAAGCTGCTGAGGCAGGATGTGTGACTCTACCGAAAGACCCAAGAATATCCAGTCCATTCACTTTCCCTATTTGTAGTCCATACTTTATCCGCTGCTAGCATGCAGATAAGCTGGTGATCCTGGGTGAGCACTTATATATATTCTATACCCCTATATTGTGGACAAGTCTATCCATGGTTCACCAATGTTGAGTTTACGCAAAGTTGCATTCATTTTTATTTGTCTCGAATACATTATGAGCTGAGTGAACCTCTCACCAGGATTTGAACTCGTAACCTTCCAATTGGGAGCCCAGGAATGGAACGGCAGCGCCACCCAGCAAGTTGTTGGTAATTGAGCTCTCTTACCATAATCACAAAACAACTGGACCGAGTCTCTGGCCTTTTTTCACGGTGTCTTTACCGTTCACTCACCACTGATGTGTTTCCGATTATCACGGTTGGCTACGTGTGGTGCGAAAGAAGTTCGACATACATACGTACGTACATACATCGCCGTGTGCGTGCACCCACAGGGCACTGGTACGGCATCGAGCTGGAGCAGCCAAGTGGCCGCAATGACGGATCCGTGGCAGGCGTGCGCTACTTCCAGTGCCCGGCCAAGCACGGAGTGTTTGCACCCCCGTCACGTGTCCAGAGGTACGGTCCACGGTGCCGCGTTTTGGCAGGCATATTTATTTTGATACCCACTGTGAGCTTTCTTTATTACGTTTTCGTAGGATTTCCTGTAAAGTCCATCTGTGTTCATACTTACTCTATTATCAGCAAGTTACTCTGTCATTGGCAAGCACTGGTTAATAACAACGTCTAATAAGGCCCAAGACTCAACTACCCATCCTCTCTTCTCGCCTGCACAGCGAGACTTGAAGCTGCAACGTCCTCCAGTGATACCCGTGCTGCAGACTATTCACGAGTTCTGCAAATTAATTATTTGTGAATGTTACGTTTGTGCTCGTGGGATGAACAAGACACAACGCAAACAAGACGGGTGATAGACACGAAAGGAATCACACGAGGCAGTTGTTGGAAACAAGACAAACAAGAGGGACAGTGGAAACAAGACGGGCAATGCAAATGAGTCAAACAGGAGAAATTAGTTCATCATCAACGTTTTTGGGTTAGATCGCGTTATTTATAAATGTGTCTTAACCCTCCACCACCCGACACGGCCAATCTGCAAAAAAGTGTCACGTTGACAAAAGACAAATAGTTCACTACTTTAGCCCACCGGTGTGTTGAAGAATGAATCCATAACATTTACAGTTTTTGAGTACGACGTTTCGCTGGTAATTACATCCAGCATCATTGGGCAATTCGCCAGAATGTTAAACTGAGGAGAAATGAGATAGGAAATTTCGATGAGACGGACAGCAAAAATGTGAAGGAACTAAAAGACCGCGTCACGGATGGTGGAGGGGGGACGCAGAGCGGGGGAGAGTGGCGGTTGAGGTTTAACATGGTTAATCACATCTTTCCAATGATTGCTCAATATAACTTATAAAGATGCCTGCAGCAACGTGTGGAGAAAGGTTTGAGAGAAGATAATTGCTCTCAACATTCTGCCTAACCCACAAGACCACACTTGGATTACGAGTGGCTGTATGACCCTATGCACTCAACATTTATGAACTGTGGCCTAGCTTTTTTGCTACAATTTTGGGTCAAAATTAGTTCAATGCTCAGGTGGGTATGATGGAGGGTATCTCGAGCTTCTGTTGCTTTGTAGTTCCGTTGGTGAAAAAGATCAACTTGATTTTTACAGGCCTGTTTGGCAAAAAAAATGTGTTGTTTCATTTATGATAATTTCCCAATGCAATAATAGGTCTTCATGTCTTGCCACAACATTGGATTGCGTGAAAATTAATGAAACATTGAAGGACTTTAAGATGCTAATTGTGCCGTTGTAATAATTTTAAATGACATTAATAAGGACTGTGATATGCAATGTTTTGATATAGCAAGCTGGATTATTCAGGCATGAGAGGCCAGTTTAATGGTCTATTCACCGTGGCACTGATGAGCAGGAATATGCATGAGGTCCTTGACAAGGCACTTAGAAAAACTTAAGGACAAGGTGAAGGCTGCAGGAATAGGTTCGTGCTCATTATCAACATGCTCCACTCCTGCACTGTAACATGCCTTGACCCAAGAGAGATGTGAAGACAACAAAACCATACTTCTCCAGGGCATAATTCACTCCTGACATGCACCCGCATTACTACTGCTCCCTTGGTAACCCAATTGCTCAGAAATGTTTCTTATTCCAACAATGAAATACGTTTTTTTTTCAAATACATTCCAGAGTTTATGGTTTACGAATACTGTATTATCAGGCTCTTTTTACCCTGTGCAGTGTCAAACTTCACCCTGTGCAGTGTCAAACTTCAGCTCCGCACTTGCTCCCGTGCCTTTTGATGCCATTAAGCACATGACCCCACATGGGGGGGGGGCGAGTGCAATTGGGTGCGGTGCAACCGTTAAACCACCAGCTGATACTCACCCAGGGGTGTCCTCATGCCTGGCTCCCAGAAGGAGGGAAGGAGTGTGCTTGCGTCTCAGAAGTGGTATTTGCCAGCCCGGGAGTACCACGAGTCGAGGCCTCGCGGTGGTCACATCAAAATGGTAGGCAAGCTGGGCAGTCGTGGGCCACGTGCCATGTCAAGTGCGATAGGCCTGACATCTGACAAGAGCTTCAGTTCTCCCACAGGAATACACTTTACAAAGAGGACCTGACAAGCACTGGTCAGGGAGAAGTCATGTGCATCTCGTACAATATTTTAGGTCGGTTTATGGGCACCGTCATATGCCACGAGGTGGATCAGGCATCCTTACCAACACACTAGTGCCAGGGAGTTGCCAGTGTTGGGCCCTTCTCCACTATACATAGGCATGCTAAGAGGAAAACTGCTATATTAAATCGAGCCCTGATATATAAATACATGTGTAGTGACTGACTTGGAGACGTAAGTTCTTGGAGGCAGTTCTTTTATTTACACCGAGCACACTTTGTACAATACACACCCTACACTTCGATTTAAAGCTTTCGTGACTGCAGGGATTCATCTTCTTGGTTCTTTCGGTAAAGTCACGTAGAAGGGCTGCTTGCGTTGTAGCCGGAACGTCGTGAGAATTATTTTATTATGTTTTATTTTTATTATTTTATTACTTCCCTTCTACGTGACTTTACCGAAAGAACCAAGAAGATGAACACCCTACACTGTTACACGCTCCTCTGTCTCTCTCTTATACGCAACTCTACACTGGTTGCCAGCCTACACACAACGCTAGCCGTCTTGACACTAACGGCGCTGAACTAAGACAGCCAACTACCGTCTAGCAGCGCAATATCAAGTGATGATGACAGCGACGATGGCGGCAAGACGACAGCGATGATGATGACGATCTTCAGCAACGACGGGGATCCCACTCCAAACGGCAGCCCCGAGGTCCCCTCCTGGGGCCCCCCTTATACTGTCCGAGTGGCCTGGCTCCGCCCCGGCCACGCCCCCCTTCTGGAACCTTCTAGCAGGTTCCCGATGTGCCCCTTCCGTAACCTTTCTTCTAGATCCCTTTCTGGTCTATCACGTGGCCTGCTGCTAGTCAGGGCTGCCATAAGCTGCAGATCCCCACCCCTGCCAGCAACCAGCGCTATGCTGCTAAGTGACCAATTCTATGTCACTACACATGTACATGTATGACCCTTTTGTCAATCCACTGCTGACTCAGGACCCCCTGCCACACCATTTTTTCATGAAATTAGCCTAAACCTGCAATATTCCATATTAACTCCAATCCTTTTATTAATGTGATGCGCATCTGGTGAATATTGTGAGTAGCGCAACATAATTAACTTTGATATTTACCACCCTGTACAGCTGCCACAAGCACTACCCTTAGATGCTCTCGGCTTGTTGGCCCTGTTTATCCTGACACTAATGCCACCTGTTCCCACATGGGGGATCGACACGTCTTGTCTCTTGCTCAGGAAAGGCTCACTGAATATTCAGAACACTTTTTATAAGCATCTTGCATTGGGATGTTGAACAATTCCTTTGTTGTGTTTGCATACGGGCAGGTGTTATCCTCTTGTATACGAGGGAATAGCACTCAAAGGTTCACACAGATTGGTCATGGACCCATTTGTTTTCTACCATCACCAGGTCATCTCGCAGCCCCGCATGTTTATCCATCTTACAGCACATAATTGTCTCCGCATCAGCCGTCCACCCTGCATCCAGTGACTTTGATTACAGGCATATGCTACGAGTTCTAGCATGAGCTCTAAATCTTTATGGGATCATAAGAGTTCAGAATATGCTGAGTGTTCTGTAACACACAGGTCACGGATTTAATCCCCTATAGAGATCGTTCATCGCATGTGAATCAAACTAAAATATGTATGTTTCAGATGCAGGCTTAACCTAAAATAAGTGAAAAACTAAATTAAATGTGATGGATATGTTTATGCAGTCATTGGTGTGTGGCTGAAACCATAAACACGCTACACTTGAAAATTACAGAGATCCCAGCATGCTGGCTCATTGCTCTGAATCCCGAATCACCCGGGCACTTTCAGAATGTAATTTGCAACTTTGATGTCATTAACAAATTGCCATGTGATTGGAAGAACAAATCAAGGCAGAATGCAGGCAGAAGATGCGTTTATAATGTTATAAAATATTAAGCAACCCTTATGATTTGTTCATTCATGCATTATATTTACAGTGATTTAACTAATATATTCTACTGTACCAATGAGCTAGTGAAGTGTTAATGTGTAACAACCCATAATTCCCTGAGATTGTTTTCTTGCTTGTTTAATCGTTAAATTCCTCGCTGCCTCAAGGTTGGCCTGCCCATTGTCCCCACATCGTTCTTGACTCATTCCACTTCCAAATTTAGGTCACAGTTCCGACATATCTCAGGTCCAGTTTGAAAGGTGTCGTGAGGATGAAGGCATACGTGTGTGTGCCACTGCACATAACTGCGTGCATTTGCTTCCGTGGGTGTATGGTTGAGGAGGTGGTAGTGAGTGGTGATGGATTGCCTTGTGTGTACTGGATTAGAATTCCAGAAACTTAGGTTCAGTTCTGAGCCATGACACAAAATCAGTTGCAAATGGCATATACACCTTTTATGTTGTCCCCAAGGTCAACTTGGCTTTCAACAATTATCTGGTGCAATGTGGTCAATAGCATGAGCACTGAAAATAATAAGTTGGTCAAGAATGGTGCTGACCACTCCACCATGTCATGTATGATGGATGATTTATTAGGCACTGGCTCAGAACACTTGTTTCTCTGGTCTAGAAGGTTCAACTGGTGATCTGTGTCTTGTTTGTGTATGAATGCGTGGTGATTTTAGCAACCCTTGTTTGGTGTTCGGACCAATATTTTGGCATTTTTCCACGGTACAAATACTGTTAAAAAACAGCATTGGTGGTGCAATATCTGCATTTTGTGAAATGCACTCACTGATATAAAAAAAACAGAACATTTTAGTAGAGACAATTTGCCTTTGTCATTAAATAGCATATCCAAAAACGGATTAGATTAAACTTTTTTCAACTCCGTTTTTGATCCATCATACCTTTTTACCTACGAAGTGTTTCATATATTTATTTTCTCTTGTAATACTGG